AAAAAAACAAAAAGACAAAAAAAAAAAAAAGTGTAAAAAACTGAGGGGAATATCTGCAAGCATAATATCCTACATCCTGAATATAATGAAGGGTGGGTGGCACGAATAGAAATTCACAAAAGAAGAAACACAAATAGTTATAGGAAACAAATGATTGATTCACATATGGATAGCCAAATATAAGAAAATGAACAAAAAGAAGGGAAGGGAAACTAGGTTGGGCACAGTGGCTCACATCTGTAATTCCAGCACTCTGGGAGGCTGAAGCAGGTGGATCACTTGAGGCCAGAAGTTTGAGACCAGCCTGGCCAACATGGCAACACCTCGTTTCTACTTAAAATACAAAAAATTAGCAGGGTGTGGTAGTGTGCGCCTGTAATCCCAGCCACTTGGGAGGCTGATGTATGAGAATTGCTTGAACCTAGGAGGCAGAGGCTGCATGAGCTGATATCGTGCCTGGGTGACAAAGTGAGACTCTGTCTCAAACAAACAAAAAAGAATACTTTTTTCTACCATCAAATTGGCAAAGATTAATAATAACATGACACTCAAGTAAATGTAGGAAATATGAGGATTATTGAGTATTGGGGTAAGACTGGGCATGGTGGCTCAGGCCTGTAATCCCAGCACTTTGGGAGGTCAAGGCAGGTGGATCACTTGGGGTCAGGAATTTGAGACCAGCCTGGCCAACATGACAAAACCCCATCTCTACCAAAAATACAAAAATTAGCCAGGCATGGTGGTGCACACCTGTAATCCCAGTTAGGTGGCAGAAGAATTGCTTGGACTCAGGAGGCAGGGGGTGCAGGGAGCTGAGATCACTGCACTCCAGCCTGGGCTGCAGAGTGAGACTCTGTCTCAAAAAAAAAAAAAAATCTATCTATCTATCTATATCTATGTATATAGAGAGATACAGATAAGTAGGTAGACAATGAGAAAAATAAAGTAAGTGATAAACCTTTCATTGGATAAATTGCAAATATATCAAGCTCTTAATGTAAAAAAACGAAACTACAGGAGCACTGGAAGAAACTGTAGAAAGCATGTGAAGTCATGCTGGAAGAATCCCTAAGTATGATACAAAACCCATAAGTCATAAAAGGTTAAGAAATTTGACCGCATGAAAACAGAAAATATTTCCACGCCAAAAACCAATAAAAGCAGTATCGAGAGGCAAACACTGAACTGAAAAAAAAATATTTGCAATTCGCATTACAGGCAAAGAGCTAATTTCTTTGCTTTATCAAGATTTCCCACGACAACCAATAAATCAGTGGGAAGATAAGCAATGATGCGGCCAGTTCTCACAGGAAATATAAATGGCTCTTAAATATGTGAAAAAATGCTCAACC